GTGTCCATACGAGAAGCACGCACGCTTAGTACATACAGACTGAACGACCGAACGACAATAATAAAACTAATAATTGTTATCAATATTATATTAATATGAAGTGCAAAAATATAGGCGAATGTATTTTTGTGTCATTTGTTTTTTTATTTATTGTTATTTAATCATTATAAGATATTTGATTTTCTTCAATAAATTATTAAAATTAGGTATTAATTATTAGGTATTAGTTAATGATTTCTTTTATTAATCTTACATTTATAATTGTTTTCATTCATAAATTCAATACTTTCAAAGGAAATACGATAAAAAATACCTATAGGTACGATTAATAAAAAATACCTATAGGTACGATTTAGGCGACCGGTTGTCTAAATCGTACCATTTGCAGCATGGTACAAACAGATTTATAACAAATTAATTTGTTATTGGTGGAATGTTAAACATGTAATAATAAGCGTCCATAACCTCAATCTACAATTTCTAATGTTCATTTGCATATAAAACGGTACCAAATGGAAAATATAATAAAAAATAGGTTAAGTGGTAACGTGTGTGAAGTTGGCACCTCGACTTTTGGTACCGCAAGTTTTGATACGAATTCCATTGGCACCCGCAATAGTTCTATAGTTCCTGATAACTTTTATAAATTGTTCCGTTGATTTAGCTAAACAAAATAACACATGAAAATTTGAAGTGCTAACTTCCCGTGGCACCGCAAAATTCGAAAAATCAAGTAATATTACAGTTCTCGATGAGTTCTACAGTTCCTGATAAATTTTAACAATAGTTCCAGCCTCTAAGTAATTTTAAATAATAATTAAAACCGCGGGCTGGCACCGCACGTCAAGAGTAAAGTACCTTTTAGCAGCCAACTTTTTGGCACTTTCCGATAGTTCTACAATAGTTCCAACGATTTCTATAGATTTCGTTCAGATTTCTGACATTTAAATGTTTAAACAATTTTTTAATCTGAGCGCTGGCACCGCACGTCAAGAGTAAAGTACCTTCACTCTTTCGAATGCTGTGAACCGCATTATTGTGAAATTTTTAGTACATGCCACAGACATTTGTAAAATCTGATCAAAATTTTCAAATTTGACGGGTATCCGCGTTTGTATGCGCGTAGCTCCATGAAGGATCGATCAGATTGAAATATCGATTACCGATTTGAAAGTACAGATTTCAACCTTTAAAATGCTTTTTCGATTTATTTTCTGCGACGATTTTTCACCGTGTTATGGTGTTCTGAATATTGTGCAATTTTGAGCGTGTTCGAAAGTGTTCCCTATTTTTTGTTGAGTAACGTAGTTAAATGAAAAGTACAAGACACCATTTCTGTTTCTTTTGAGGAGAGCTACCCACCCGTGCACTTAAAGTCCACCCAACTTCAAAGGTAACGAACTTCGAATTTTCTAAGATAATCTTTGGGATTCGGTACCAATATCGTACATGGTCTTGTAGAGGGGGACAAGCTCTATCAGAATATGAAATAAAATGAGACAAAAAATTCGACAAACCCCTTAACCTCTCTGAGAAGGGATAGAGCCCACACAGAAATCATGTGTGGCGCGATCTCTTATGAGTAAGTAGAACTACGTTCGCGTTTACTTTTCTCGGCGGACGTTACACTATCTTTCTCTAAAATATACAAAACTCATTGGTGCGCCATCGGTCTTGCCATTACTCTCGTTTGTTACACAGATAAATATTAAATATCGGCTGTGTATTAGATATGAAAAAAAACTGTTAAATTTCAATATTTCTAGTTTAAAAAAAAAAGTTTCTATCAGTCAACCATTATAGACATTTAATTTCTAGTTCGTATTGGTTGTGTTCTCACATGTACAGTCTAAATTAAAATAAGATTCTTATTATTTAAAAAAGTTTCCTGCAAATCGAATCTAGAAATATTAAAATTTAATTGCTTTCTTTATAGCTAATACAAAGTAGACATTTGATATTTTAGTATTTATCTGTGTAACAAACAAGAGTATATAATAGCAAAACTGATGAACGCAGTAATGAGTTATATGTATTTTTGAGAAAGATAATCTAAACGAAACACATACACACAGATAAGAAACATAAACAGATAAGGAACTCAACAAGCGTTGAAATAGCATGTAATGTACAGTATACATGTATAACATAAGGAAGGACGTCACAGAGGAGGGGAGACTAATCTTGTTAGTAAAGATCGACGGAAGAGCTTCACGTTTACAATTTAGCCTACAATTGTCATTAAAACCATTCACATAATGTACCTGATAGAAAGATTTATGATGGGAAAACGCAACCCAGACTTTAGATTGAAATGGTTGCCCTACTGTATCAAATCATATCATAGCAAAAATGGTGTTTATGGATATAAGCGGAGTCAAAGGAGGCACTTTGAAGGTAAGTCTTATTGAAAAATTAAAAATAATGTTGAATTTAATTTTTTTTGTTATACAAGTATTTACGTGAAACGTTTTTGTCCTGCTCATTCTCGAGATATTAAAGGTCTGTTTCTTGTCTGAGCTAGTGTACATTTCTGGAGAACTTAAAATTTTTTAAGAGTTTTATAATCTGTTTACACAGATTACAAAACTTATTGAAATAAACATTTAAAGTATTTTTAAAAAATAGTAATTATACCGCCAACTATTTTGATTAATTATTCATATTTCATATGTATAAGCACTTATACATAAACACTATTAAAAAATCACACTTGCAGTTTCCACGCAATATCATATTATTCATATACAAAAGTTTTTCGCAATTAAAGTAGAACAATTCACAATAACATCAAAATGACTGAACTGAATCGTGATTGCACAAAAAAGTAACTTTTAGTAAATATTTTGGAGCCATTTCAACATCATGATAATTTTTTGTTCTGTTGAAATGTTTTTCAATTTATTGCATATAATAGATCTTAGAAACATTTCTGTTAAAACATTTCATATAACATATTGCAGAATCCTTTCAGAATTGTTGCACATGAGACGTGAAAGGTTGAAACATTTCTGTAAACTTTCCGCAATAATCGGTGCTGTGTATGGGTATTGATTTTTCCCCATTGATTGTTAATGTTGTTGCAACGTTGAAACGAGATTGAATAAATTATATATCGAATTCTATTTTATTTTGTAAAAAATGGATTAAAATGTTTTGTAATCCTTTCGCAATTATAGCAAATCTTTTCCCTCTGTGTAATACATATTAATAAAGCACGCAATTTTTACACGTGATAAAAGGTTTGCAATTTTACGTGATTTTATTTGTTTAATTCTGTTCATTATGTTAAATGAATTTTATTTATGTTAAATAAAAATTCATTACGTGTAATTATTATTTTCATTTTTCAGTGCTAAAAGAATATCTAGATGAACGAGCGAGACAGAGCAATTTTTATAGATTAGTCAGTGCATATAGAACTCATGGACATAAACAAGCAGTCATAAATCCCATTTCTACTAGCAAACCACAGTTATTATCTGAATTGCAACCAAAGAATTTTGGACTAAATTTACTGGATAAAGTTTGTTTTCGAGGAATTTTATTTACGCGACAAGATGAAGGAACAATAGAAGAAGCTATTCAATTTTTGCATGCTACTTACAGCGATGCTGTTGGAACTGAATTTAATCATCTCGAGGTAATTTACAAATTCAGTAAGATTCCACAGTTACGTACGAAAATCTAAGAATTTATCTAAAAATTAATTTGTTTAAAAATTACGAATTGAAACAATATGAACCATGGCGTACGTCTATTGAAGAGTAGTATTTATTATCTACTTCTACACAGAATTTATAATAATATCGATTAGATATCTATTCGATATATGTATATCACATCCATGATTATATGTCCTTCGAAATCTAATAAACAGCCATTATACGTCCATTAAATATAAAATGTCCGAAATTCGACATTTAAGAACTATCCATAAGATATCTAATGCAATATCCATCCTCCATATTTAATAGATATTTACATATTTAAAAATAATATCCATTACATAGCTATACGTGGATAAAAGGCTGTTTTTTGAATTTCTTGCACAGTTCATTTTTCCTCTTTTTTTCTTCATATTGAAAAGAAAAAGAGAATAAATATGAACTCTTAAGAATATTCAGTTACAAAGAACAAATCTACCATAAGGATAAGTATTGGCTGGGTTTAAGAAAATTATAAATATGATTGGTATTTGTGATAGACGCGCGCGCGCGCGCGCGCGCACACACACACACACACACACATTATATATTAATAATAAAAACAAATATTTTATACAAGAGTTTTTTAAGAGATTTGTAGGTTGTCGTGGGGTTTTAAATCGTTGATTGATTCACGGTTAATCATTCTTCTCACTTGCGACTTGAAACTTTTCAACTCCTGTAGCAGGATTCTCAAAACGTCTTATCGATGATTGTCGCTATCGCTAACCAGTGACAGCCAATGGCAGGACGTCCTGGAAGTAAACGCGACTCTCATTTGCTGTCGTTAGTTAACGGTAACGATCATTGTTGATAAAACGTTTAGAGAATCCCGCAACTGTTGAGACTGCGACTTCTAGTGTAGACCCCGCGTAAAACATACCATATTATTTTTAGTTTGAAGTTTGATATGGATTGTATATGTTTGTATTCCACGAAAAATTTAAATATTATAAAACGAATCTTCAAATCATTTTGCCATCATTTTTCATTTTTAAATCTATGTTTGGCGTGTTCTTCACGCCAAAAAACAATCTTTACACTTTGTTTCAAATTGTTAATCCATAACATTAGAGAGTGTTATTAGCATTACCACTCTGAATTCCTTAGACTTTCCGTTAATATGGATACATAAAATTGAACTATAATTATAGTCATATTTTTGGCATTGATGTACTGAAATAATAAATTACAATTATTACAAGAGGCACGAAGCGTTTTTATGGATTTCTATGTTCTAAATAATTGATTCTATTGTTGAGAGTAGTTTTATTAACGACGTATGTGATAGGATATTGAAATTTGATCGCCTCAGTAATTTCTATGACAAACACCTACAACTATGGTTCATGAGACTGCTTCCAGGAATTATCGCATCTGCTTACTTCAAGGAACAGATTTTGTAACATGCGAGTATTATAATTGCGTTATTCTCGTTATCAGTTTTAATTTAAATATTTGTTCAATATTGAGAATGACCTGATTAAGGTCGAAACGTTTGTGCTTAATTATTATTTATACATTGTTATCAATCTTGATCCCTTAAGTTCAAAATAAAAATGACAATACTTAAGCAATGTTACTATCGTCCCATTTGTATCGTCACTTTAAAAAGTGTTTCGTTATTTAAAAAGTAATTACAATAGATTTAACCGTCGGTACAACTTAGCCAACTCTCCCCTATTTTGACGATAAATCATAATCGAAATATTAATAAGGAAATTTTTATTTCGAGTAGACGGAAGAAGAGAGGGAATGGTTTGCCGAAACTGTAGAAAGAGTTTTAGCCGAACCATTAAATAATGAAACACGTAAAACGATAGCCACGGAAATGCTCAAAAGTCAAGTTTTTGATAACTTTCTGGCCATAAAGTTTGTCAGTTTAAAAAGATATGGAGGAGAAGGAGCCGAGAGTATGATGGCTTTCTTTCATGAGCTTTTCAAACTATGTACCTTTGGTAATTAACAAATATTTAATTAATTAATTTTCTTCTAGATTTTTTCTGAAATATGATACCAAGTATATAAAAAATTTTTGAATATTCGAATCATTATTATAATAGATATAAAATATCTTGCGTAGGCTCACATTGGCAATTCTTCCTAAGTTTTTATTTATAAAAAATATGTATAGTATGTATAATATTTTTATATGTACAAGTTGAAATTATTTACAAGTATTTAAATTATATTTATTATATATTATTATAAGGTAACCGGATTCTATGACCTAAACTTTGCGATTTTTTCCTGATCTTTTTTAAGTCCAAAGAATTGAAAAAAAAAACTTAATATTTGCATGGATGCAGTGAAAATTTTAAGAAAAAGGTAGCATGAAGTCATATTGTACATACATACATACACAAAATGGCCTAATTGAGTATACCTTTCTCTTTTTCTTAAAAAAAAGTTTTAGAGCAACATAAAATTATATGAATCAAAAGCTGCGTTCAACAGAGAAAACTAATCAGTTAGCGCTTAGTGGTTCTTTAATACGATTGTTTCCTACACTTAGATATTGTGAAGAAAAGAACCAATCGCATTAAGTAATCACTAAGCGCTAACTGATTAGTTTTTTCTGCTGCACGCAGCCAATGTTACTTTTATATTAACGTATTATATATGTATATATATATATATAGTATATGTATATACAATACAATACATAACCAGGGAATAGAAGTACGCGTTACTTATGCAACGTCGTTACTTTTTATGAGTACTTTTTTATAATAACAATTTTGTTAATGACATTGTGAATTTTTATGACGATAATGATTAGAGTTTGGATTATCCGCCGATCGACGTACCTCGCTCGAAGCCGTGGCGAGCGACGACGCGGGCGCGTCGGTGGGTGATGAGGTGTAGTGAGGAGAGCTAGCTACGGTTGACGCGATCTCAAAACTTTAATCCAGGTTCAGCAATGATAATACCAGAGTTGGGAAAGTCGAACGTTATTTGTAACCGATTGGAAAAGTCACTCATTACTGAAAACAGTATCTATTTATTTGTAACTATGATAGTTACTTTTATTCGTTATTGTAACAGGAAAAGTAACTCGTCGATGCGTTGTAAATTACTTGACTTAGCGCCGAGATACTACCGTGTCTCCTGACTTATTATTTCTTTCTATTACCTTTAGCGGTAGCGGCTACCATGAACGATCGATAGAGGCGGAGAACACTCTACCTTTGTTTTCCTGCCGAAGCTAGTAGAAAGATAAACTGCAACCGCTAATCGAGGGCTGTGTTCCAAAATTGATTGTCGGTACTGAAAATCTATAGTGCACGTGACGTAAACTAGCATTTTCAATGCTGGCAGTAAATTTGGAACATAGGCGGAAACACTCGGTCGAGACAAAGAGAACGCTTTACCCCGTTTTTCTTTTTGGTGTGAGAGACGAGTCAGGCTGGAATCTAAATTAGATTCGGGAATCTAAAATAGGGTGTTCCATTTTAAAAAATCGACGTGATCTGGACCTGACCTTGGCGACACAACCTAAGGTCAATTGATAAGATCTCAACTGATAAATAGATCTTTTTAAACTCCACAACTTTTGTCTGAACACTTTTACGATTATCCTGCAAAGGGTGTGGTATACGGGTGGTCTGAAATACCTGATTTCCTTGTCGTATGGATGAGTAACATTCCTACTCCAGGAATGCTATTCTTTTTAAATTTTTACATAAATATTTGAAAATGTCTCATATTTTTTATTATCTTAGAAAAATGTTCTCTTTTTTTAATGTGACCATTAAATCTCAACTTTGGACTTAGTAAAAGAATTAGAAAAGATCGCAAAACTTATTAGAAGCACATAAGGCCTAGTTATTTATATAACGTAAATTATATGCAAAATGCATGGTTGAAGGTAAGCTGTGAATGTAAACCATAATGTTATTTAGTAACAATACCATTCATTACGTAAAAGTTTATTTATCTGCAACGTTATTTCTCTAGATAATTTGGAACACGTAATTATTTGCGCTGCACACCGCGGCCGCCTTAATTTATTAACGGGACTACTAAACTTTCCACCAGAGAAATTATTTCGCAAATTACGAGGACTTTCTGAATTTCCGGATGCGACCAGATGTACTGGAGATGTAATTAGTCACCTCATAAGCTCTACTGATCTTAACATAGGTGAAAAGGGTCTTCACGTAACCATGCTTCGAAATCCATCGCATTTAGAAGTAGTAAATCCCGTATCGATGGGAAAAACACGAGGAGTTATGCAGACGATTAAAGAAGCCGCGTACAGCGATAATGAAGATGCAATATGGAGTGATAAAGCAATAAACATTCAGGTAAGATTATAGATGCTATATGTTAATGGCTAATAAAAAAAAAGTTTCTCATTAATACAGGTTTTAAAAACTTATATTAATGAAAAACTTGTCTTATAAAAAAAAATGTAAAAGATAGTTCTTTTTGAATTTTTTATTAAATTGTGGTGTGTTATTTCTCTATTATATTTCAAAATGTGTGTCTATTTACATTATTATTTAATATTTAAAATGTTCAGGTACATGGAGATGCTGCCTATCCAGGACAGGGAATTAATCAGGAATGCTTAGTTTTAAGCAAAACGCCACATTTTGAAATTGGTGGTACAATTCATTTAATAATTAATAATCAATTAGGTTTCACAACTCCACCTTCAAGGAGTCGATCGTCAAGATATTGCACAGATTTAGCGAAAACTATATCTGCACCTGTAGTTCATGTAAACGGTGACAATCCTGAGGTATAACTTCGAAGTAAAATACTAATATTTGCTAATAGTGAATTTTTACTTGTAATAATTTAAAAATATTTTGTAGATGGTTGTACGAGCTGCAAAAATAGCCTTTAAATATCAAAGACGTTTCAGAAAGGATGTGTTTGTTGATTTAAATTGTTTCAGAAGATGGGGTCACAATGAACTAGATGATCCTACAATCACTAACCCCCTCATGTATAAAATTATACAAAATCATGCGTAAGTCGTCCAAAATCGGAACATAAGGTGTTTTAAAGATGACTGTACTGTCTGTGATACAATGTATAAAAGATAGCCTGTCATAGTCCTTGAATGTTCACAAGATATCTCACGATATCTTTTTTATTGGACATCTTAGATATTATTTACTTACTGAGACGTCCCTGGGATATCGTTTGAAAATCAGGACTAATTTGGAACATTCTCAGGATAAAGTGCTGTGTGGAAATAAATTAATACTTCATCATTTTTTTAAATAAATTATACAATAATTACAAAGAGTCTATAATAATCACGAAATAATATGAATTTCTCTTTTAATACAGATCTGTACCAGATCGATATGCAGATAAGTTAGTAGACGTCAACATTCTTACTCGAGAAAACGTTGAAAATATCATCGACAATCACATAACGTGGTTGAATAAGACTCTGAAAGAATCTTCGAAGGACGCATCAAGACTGTCAACCGTTTATGCCGGAAGATGGGCGAAAATGAAGCAAGCTGAAGCTAATATAACGCAATGGGATACTGGTGTTGAACTAGGCTTGCTACATTTCGTCGGAGAAAAAAGTGTTCAAGTGCCACCAAATTTTGTAAGAATAGAATTATGTATTCAACTCGCATATCATATTCATAACTGCTACATATCCCAGATAACAAGCTGTAGTCATTTTAACGTCAATAATTATATTTTATAATGTAGGCTATTCATCCACAATTATTAAAGAATCATGTCCAAAATCGTCTAAAAAAGATCGAAAGCGGTAACGCATTGGATTGGTCAACTGCTGAAGCATTAGCCATCGGTTCTTTATTATATCAAGGATATAACGTAAGAATAAGTGGACAGGATGTAGGCCGTGGCACTTTTTCACAGAGGCACGCGATGCTCGTTGATCAATCTACAGGAGGTGTGATACGTAATCAAATACTAAATATTTACATAAAAATATTTACACAATTTATACTTATTAATGTTATTATTTTTTTACATATACATATATACGTCCATTAAAAGTATTGTTATTATACAGATATAAATTTTTAGCTATTTTTATTCCGCTGAATTCCATGGTTGATAATCAAACTGGCAAATTAGAGATAGCTAACAGCATTCTATCTGAAGAAGCTGTACTAGGTTTCGAATATGGTATGAGTATAGCGTCACCGTTTACATTGCCTATTTGGGAAGCTCAATTTGGAGATTTTGTCAATGGAGCACAAATCATTATTGACACATATATAACGAATGGAGAAGCAAAGTGGATGCTAAGTAGCGGTCTAACAATGCTTTTACCACATGGATATGACGGTGCTGGGCCGGAACATAGTAGTTGCAGACTTGAAAGATTTTTACAATTAACGAACAGTAAGGAAAACGGTGTCGACGGTGATGATGTTAATATACATATTGTGAATCCCAGTGAACCAGCACAATATTTCCATTTATTAAGAAGACAGGTAAGAGAAAGAATTCAGATAGTATAAAAGAATTAATATAAAAAGAAAAGGTTTAAATATTTGCGATTTCTAAGTGACAATTTAAATATTTAAATAAAATTCAAAATACCTACAAAATTAATTTATAGATGATAAGGGATTATCGAAAACCTCTGATCGTAATAGCACCTAAAATTTTATTACGTCATCCGGCAGCAGTATCACCTTTATCGGATTTTGAACTTCGAACGAACTTCAAAACTATTATTGGTATGTTATATTTCATCTTTAGTTTCGTTTTGCATACATACATGTAAAGCATTTTATCCATTAAGGGGATCCTAAACCAACAGGAATTACCGACAATTGCAGATTGCCAATTTCTCCGAATTGGCTTTATAGATCACTAAATCCTTTTACACGATAAAAGTGCGCACAAAAAAAACACCGGCCACATTAAATTTGACCAGAAAATCGGAGAAAAAATCCACTTGATTTCAGCTCTCACAGCTGTCACCTCAGGTTATAATTCCTTTAGTGCAGAAATTCTATAGGTTGTACGTACCAAATGTTCCCTCGCCGGAAGCGTATGACATGCACAAACAGTCCTGAATTTGCGAAATTATGATCGAAGGCCTAACAAAAAAGATTTTCCAAAATTAAAGTCGTATTTTTTGTATAACAATTACTTTTTTCCCTTTTTACAGATTCGAAAATCCTTTTTCAAGATTAAAATATACACAATGGCTGCGTTCAGCAGAACGTTTGTTTTGCAACTGTTGGAAATTTCCTTCGCGCTAATTGGATCATACTTTTAGATCTAGAAGAATGTTCCTATCTCAGCAGACAATCATAAAACGGTTGCAAAACTGTTGAGTCTGCTGAACGCAGCCATTGGCTGCGTTCAGCAAAAAAAGCAGCTGTTGTAAAATTCTTGAATATGATTGGTTTATACATTTAGATCCAGTGAGAAACTAAGGGCAAGACCAATCTTATTAAAGAATTTTACAAGTTGCAAAGCTGCTTTTTCTGCTGAACGCAACCATTAATATGTGTCTATAAGGTGGAATTTATTCCGAGAACGACAAAAAATTTCGAAATTGAAATCTTAAGAAAAATGTTTTGTCGTTCTTGGCGCAAACTACACCTTACAGACACGTATTAATGCGTATACTTTAATCCTGGAAAAGGATTTTTGAATCTGTAAAAAAGGTAAAAAGTAATTATTTAACAAAAATTATGATAAATCGATAATACGAACGGCTTTAGGATCTCCTTAAACTACCTTTCACAATGCCTTCATTCAAATATATTACATTAAAATAAGCAACATTGTGTGCGTTCAGCAGAACGTTTGTTTTGCAGCTGTTGTAAGTTTCCTTCGCGCTAATTGGATCATACTTTTAGATCTAGAAGAATGGTCCTATCTCAGCAGACAATCATAAAACGGTTGCAAAACTGTTGAGTCTGCTGAACGCAGCCATTAATAACTATCAATGGGTGCGTTCAGCAGAACGTTTGTTTTGCAACTGTTGTAAGTTTCCTTCGCGCTAATTGGATCATACTTTTAGATCTAGAAGAATGGTCCTATCTCAGCAGACAATCATAAAACGGTTGCAAAACTGTTGAGTCTGCTGAACGCAGCCAATGTACATGAGACCAACAGAGACAGAGTGAGAGAGAGAAACACGATAAATAACGCGAGTAGACACCCTCTAATCAGAGTCGCGACATCAGACAGCCAGTTTTGATTGGTCCGCCATTTTTCAACAATTCCCGCTTATATTCGAATGTCTATATTGTAGGAATGGGCGATGCGCGTATCGATGCGCTAAAATTCGTTCGCAAATTAACCTATTTTGCAAAAAATCAATTTTTCCAACCAAGATGGTGCCATTTTAAACCGATACCTTTACAAAGAATCGTTTCTTTTTTTAACAAGGTTAAAAACTTCGTCTACTTCGAATCGATTTAATCGATTTTTAGTGTTCCGATACGGATATCGTCTATTCAAAGTATATACATTTGTTAAAATCATTATTGTTAAAATCAAACACAAAACAAGATTAAACATTTTAAAGTTATTACTAGATAGATTTCTCACATTATACGTGGAACTAATGCTTACTAAAAAAATTATGTTTTATCTTTTTTTTATCAAAGTTATGCATTTTTATCAGAGATATGCATTTTTCGTTGGTGTCCTATTTTTTCCAACATTTGTTGCCCATAATGTTCGACGTTTAGCATCACGCGGAAATATTTTCATTACGTAGCCTTTCGCTGCAGAATTAGTGCAAAATGGGGCTGTACACCCAACCATTTTGCAATTATTTTTATTAATCTTCTAATAAGTCGTACTAATCTTCAAGAGCAGAAAGATGTATCACGATTCACGAGAAACTATCAAGGTTAGAAAGAGACACAATGTATTCCTCTCTCTTTCGTGTGATTTTGCTGAAACTAGAGTTCCCTTAAGTTTTCCCTTAAGGGAAAAAGACCGTGATGAGAGTCTTTAACTAGAGTCTCTTTTTCTCATGTCGCGACTCTGATTAGAGGGTCTCTAAACAATGATACCGGAATCGCCGTCAGTTCTGCGACGGGTGCCGTCAATACCTGGTCTCTAAACGCGACGACACAACGACGATGACGCTGGACGACAATGACGATACAAATCAGATGCGTGGATAACATCGTGCGAATTGCTGGTCTGAGCGCGAAAACAAGCTCATTTGACGTGGAGTTGTGAAAATTGTTACAAGATTTTATTTTTATTGTACGAAGATCTGTACATACACATCCGATCTGTACTGCTAAGTCGATAATTAGATGAGGTCGATAATTTTTTCATAGGACAAAAAACTGGTTCGACTATTCTGATTCACCCTGTATATGTATTATATGTACAAAATATATATATATATATAATATATGTATATATACAAATATTTTACAGGAGATGATAGAGTAGAAAAATGTAACGTTACTAAGATCATTTTAGTCAGTGGAAAACACTATTATGCACTTAACAACTATCGAGAAACTTCTGGAGACAAGAATGTAGCTATCATTAGAATAGAAAGTTTATGTCCATTTCCTGTTCATGAGTTACTAGAAGAAATTGCAAAATATAAACATGCGCAGAGTAAGTAGAAATAATGGCTGCGTTCAGTAGAACGTTTGTTTTGCAACTGTTGGAAGTTTCCTTCGCGCTAATTGGATCATACTTTTAGATCTAGAAGAATGGTCCTATCTCAGCAGATAATCATAAAACGGTTGCAAAACTATTGAGTCTGCTGAACGCAGCTATTGTTATTATTGATAGAATCAAATATAAAATATTATATTAGGAGTGTGATTTAGTTTTGAAGTTTTTAGTTTTTGAAGAATTTAGTTTTTTTCTCAAAAACTGATTTATTTAAACCAGGTAATGAATGAATATCTTAATCAAAATATTTTCCTTCGTTTTGTATAACTTTTTCCTCCTATCTTTCTTTAACCGTAGTTTTCTTCTGATTAAAAAACAAAAGCAACGCGCCATGTCGAAAATGCTCTTTACGAAACTTCATTTTTTAAATGGTATAAACACGATATTTACTGCATCTATCGTTAATAAAGGACTAACTTCATTAAATCATGGAGTAATATAGCGTTTTCGGCACGATCGGGTTTGCACCAATCTGGGTTGGATTAATGGCATTTTGTGCTCTCCTATTAATAGAACGTGTAACGTCAACCAATAGGAAAGATGCATATTAATAGTAAAGCATTAAAAAACAATAGGTGCGATTGGAATATCTTCGGCAACAAGTCACTAGATCTATAAAGTACCGCAAACTCGCATTCATTTTGATGCAAAACGTGATCATTTCGAATTTATGCATATATTTGTATATATGTACTTTATTTAGGAAAATAAAACCAAGTACGTAAATCAATGTTTTGGAATTGTAATTAGTTTATTTATGACCGAAAGAATATGTACGAATGCTTAATTTAAGTGTTCTTTAGTTTAGTACGGATTTATTTGCTGTAGAAGTTTAGTGCATGAAAGTGCACGAAAGGACATGTAAGTACAGTTTAAAAGATGAACCACCAAACCATCATGTTTGGAATCGTGTACTATGTGCACTTCGGCCATTTTGACGTAACATTTCTGAAATTAATTGCGCTACTTTATAGATCTAGAGTGCGTTGCGAGTTACGCATGAAGCGCATGATGCATCATTTATCCTTGTTGTTCACCAAATAATAAAGAAGGTTCAAATGATACATCATGCGCAACTCGGAACGCATTCCTAGTGACTTTACGACAACACTGACATTAGTGCCATCTCTTGCAAAACTCTTAAAACTAAATCACTAATATAAAAAAAGAGATACCGTTAATATAAAAAACGGACCATTTCTAAATAAATATTTCTATTTTCAGCTTTTATTTGGAGCCAAGAAGAACCACGAAACATGGGCGCATGGTGTTTTATTAAACCACGTTTTGAAAATTTGTGTGGACGACAGGTATTAAATTAAAAAAACAAAAATTAATTATTATGGCCGCGTTCGGTAACGTCACTCGGATGTCTCCGATGCTTCGGATTCGTCATCTGTCCTTCTTTAACATTAGACATTTTCGAACGCAGCCTATGTAGGTTTGTATGTGACGGTACGCTTTTCTCGCGGGAATTCGTTTGCCGGAGTCGAGGTTCGAGAAAGTGCGAGATCAAATCATTTTACAGGAAAATATCTTTATTGATATCACACTCGTTAGTTGACAAATTTACTAAAAAATCACTTAAAATGAATAAGTAGAACAAATAGGACTAATGATAACACTGACATTGACATTCATTTATTTTAATTTTTTATTTAAAAAATTTAAATAAGTGCATATTTTGTCATTTACTTTTTATGACATAATAACTTTATCATTTTCAGTTGAGATATTGTGGTCGAGAATCAATGGCATCACCAGCTGTTGGAGATGGACAAATGCATCAACGAGAAGTTAATGAAGTTATTATTAAACCATTTACATTAAAATAAATATCAAAAGATATTACTTTAATAAATTCACAACGTATTCTACTGTAACTAAATATACACTCAAATATATTTACTCTAAAAAATATTTATATATATACACACACTCAAAAATATTTACCTTAGACGTTCAGTAATTTTGTTGATAGAAGGAAATGTTATAAAAGTACAAAAAATTATGGACATCATTTACTTTATTTAGCAATATACATTTCAGAAGCTAGAATTAAACATATACAGCGTCAAAAAGGATCTTCTTCTTATTTCAAATTTCAAATATTTCATTTAAAATTTATTTTTACAATATTTGAATTTCTTATACAAGAATCAAATAACTTATTAAAAAGAGGTAAATGTGCCGAATAGGGGAGACAGCTCCGATGACCTTGACATACGTTGTCAAAGTCATTATCCTGAGTAATCTCCACCAGATTTTAACCGTCGTTCGTCATTCATTAAAAAGTTATTAATAAAAAAAGTTTGAAAAATGATATCTTTTTTCTACTATATAAAATAAAAATTTTTTGCTTTAAAATATATCTTACAACCTTCCACGCGAAGCGACTCTCACCCCACCTCTCCCCTGCCAAGGAGCACACGATTTTCCATGCGAAGCGAGTTCCATCCCATCTCGCCAAGTTGCTTCGCGTGGAAAGTCGTGCGCCCCCAAGCAGGGGGGAGGTGGGGTGGAAGTCTCTTCACATAGAAAGTTGTAAAATATACTTTAAAGTAGAAAATTTCTATTTTATATAGTAGAAAAGAGACATCATTTTTCAAATTTCTTTTGTTAATAACTTTTTAATAAATTACGGGCGATGGCTAAAATCCGGTGGAGGTTACTCAGGGTCATCGGAGCTGTCTCCCCTATTAGCCATTTTTATTACCTATTTTAAGTAAAATTTTATTCTTTTAACATGTTTTTCAAATGATAGTATTAATAAAAGGCTAATCTATTTATTCCTTCTAAAGAAAAACATCACTAATCAGCATTATTCAAGTAACATCAGTTAATTGTCACTTTTATCTTCTACTTTCAATCTTTCGTGTTCTCTTTGCATGAGAGCTCGCAATTCATCCTAAAATTATGACTTACATTTTATCTTTTGTTATAAAAATTTACATTTGATTTTAATATTTATTAAGCATACATTATATATAATTCACATTCTGAAACGTGCATAAAATAATATAGAATAAACAACAGGAATAAAAATGTTTTACCCCCCAGCCAAGTTTGTCCGCTAGTAGTTGACAACCTGTGTCGCAATCACCCAACCAAGCTACGTCGCGTCCTCCGTGTGCACTCTTGACATCAAATACCAAACCCTGCCGTAATCCTAAGAAACGTGATAGACGATCTTGCGTACCTACTTTTTCATTGTTGATAAGTAAACGAGGACAAGTGTTTCGTACTCTTAAAAATAAAATTATTTTCAGAATTGCATATATGTTTCTTTTTTTATCATTTTCGTCGAATTATTTTTAATATTTATATATACCTATCTATTAGCGATGCGAAAGGTTGTACTACTAAACTTGATCCCATGATAATTAAAAGATCAGCTTGTATGAAATCTCGATCAGCAAGTACTCGGAAGCGTTCGGGTAACGTTTCACCAAAAAAGATTATGTCAGGTTTTACAACACCTTCATTACACTCTTCACATTTTGGTATCATGCCTTCTATTATTTTTTCTATCATTTGAAGTCAGGTATATCAGTATTTTATCAATTAATCACTAATATCTTACTTCTTATAAGACTATCCAAAAGCCAATGTTAATTAGGAGTTGGAACAAATGTTATGTGTATGTTGTATATATGCATATATATATGTATATATATATATATATGTATTACATAATTTATTTCTAATTAAAATAAAAAATTCAGTCCTATGTTTAATTATAATAGTAATGTTATATACTACTCCAGATAGGCAATTTCAATTCAGATTTGAACGACATGCGTTATAAGTTTTGTCATCAAAATACAAATAAAAATATAACAAAATGTTTTAACAGTTTAATATGATAGATTGATTGCAAAGATTAAGTGAAATTTACCCTTTATTCATTTATACAGTGTTTCTTTTTAATCTAGCCAGGCGAATATTTCAAATGCTGTTGAGTTTATAGAAAAATGTGTCAGACAAAAGTTGTAGAGTGCAGAGGGGGACACAAGATGGTGGCCTTGAGTTTTTGATGAAGGTCAAACTGAAGGTCATTTCAAGGTCAACTTTGGTTTTTTTAATGGAATGTAGTATTTTTCATTGCATATTCTGAAAGAGCATAAAATTCTGCGTTAAAGTTATCTGACACGTTTTTCATAAAAATCCATTTTATTGTAGAAATTTAGCAATTTAAGCAAAAAAATTCGTAAAAAGAATCATGCATCAAGTTGTACATGTTCATGAACATTTTTCGTTCTTAGAGTTACCCGGAATCAACGGCGTGGACGTGACGAAAATCTGATCCCATTGGGATGCTTGATTTATGTGAGTCCCCTTGCCTTTCACTACGTATCAGACTACTCACGTAAATCAAGCACCCCCGAACGTGAGAGGCAAGGGGACTCTAAGAACGAAAAATGTTTATGAATATGTACAACTTGATGCATGATTCTTTTTACAAATTTTTTTGCTTAAATTGCTAAATTTCTACAATAAAATGGATTTTCATGAAAAACGTGTCAGACAACTTTAACGCAGAATTTTATGCTCTTTCAGAATATGCAATGAAAAATGCTACATTCCATTAAAAAAACTAAAGTTGATCTTGAAATGACCTTCAGTTTGACCTTCATCAAAAACTCAAGGCCACCATCTTGTGTCCTCCTTCGCACTCTACAACTTTTGTCTGACACATTTTTCTATAAACTCAACAGCATTTGAAATATTCACCTGGCTAGATTAAAAAGAAACACCCTGCATATAATTCGTTTATTTGAACGATACATTCCATTCATATTATACAGGTTCTCTTGACAGAACACTAGTTTAGTACACCAATCTGTCACAACAATGGTCTGAATTTGTTGACAAATAGCTAGTATATTGTTAACATTTTGATAACATAACTTACTGGATGCAGAAAGATTTAAACAAACGTTATATATGAGATCCAAAAGCAAAGAGGATTCGATAGAACCAAAAATTTCTTTTGGTAATTATTTACATTAGGGGACCGCCCATCAATGACCTTGACATATCTTGTCAAAGTCATGATCCTGAGTGACCTTCAACAAATTACAAGGTATTCATAGTCAATTCAAGACCGTCTTAAGTTCTGTCTTGAGGTGTCACGAACCAATCAGAGGGCCGCATTAGCGTCTTAAGACATTACTTAAAACGTTCTTGACATAAGAACCGACTATGAATACTGGCCGTCGTTCGTTATTCGTTAAAAAGTTATTATAAAAAAAATGTGAAAAATGATGTCTCGTTTCTATTATATAAATGCAAACTTGTATATATATATATATTTAACATGTAACATCTATCAAGTTTAAAATAAATGGGAGAAATTTTTCAAATTAAAATTCAAATTAAATTAGATTACATAAAAATGTCAATAGTTAAAGTTTATTATTACTTGTTGTTTACATTGAAGATGACCCGATCGGTGTTGAAACGTTTGTATGTATGAAAGTTTATTAAATATTCTTTATGTTATAACTGGCTCGTAGCCCTTCTTTTAACTATTGATTTATTCTGATTGAGCCATATTGATAATTATATTAACATAAAAATGTATTTAACATGTTTTCAGAGGGAGAGAGCTCTACTCCTTCCTTACTCTTGTATTTACCTACTTTGTAAAAAATATATGTATATATATATATATAAAAATGTATGTATATATTCACATGTTTGATAAACCTCAAGTTGTGTTATATTTAATACTTAACGTTATTAATATATATTTGTTATTTTATTTGTTAATAAACTTTTTAATAAAACTAGCAGAAAACTATTTGAAGGTTACTCAAAATCATGACTGATAACATATGTACAACGATAACATCAAGACTTAGGTCACTGAATTTTCTTTTCTATAGTTAGCCAATATATATTTAATAGTATTCAGTTAATACATTATCCTCCAAATATTAAAAAAATTTTAATTAAAAATTTTTGAATATCTATAAGATAATACGCAACATCACACACAACATGATGGACAGACTTTTATATTATATTACACTATTTTCATCCATTTGTTTTAAATAAATCTAATTAAGGCAAAAAATATAAATATTACGGAAATATACCTTTCATCCACAGAAGTGTATAAGGCGCTCGACACTTAAGACAATGACCAGTATGAAATGTTCCATGAGCTTCCACTAGTTTATCAGATGATAATCCAGCTACACGTTCTAGTGTATCAATATTCTGTGTATAATGTCGTAACAACAGACCTTTCTCCGACAGTAGACGAATAAAATAATGACTTATTGTAGGTTTGAAGCCTTCTGGCAACAATTCCTTTGCAAGAGTGAAAAATGGTTCTGGATTCTTCATAAAAAAATCTAATTCGAAAATAGCTTGTGGATGGGGTAAATTATACTTATCTAATTTATGATAAAGTCCACTAGATGGAGACCGAAAATCTGGTATTCCAGCAGCTGTAAAAAAAATGATGTATATATATGCACACACACACACACACACGCGCGCGCGCGCGCGCGCACGCACGCACGCACGCACACAAATTTTCACTTTTCACGTTTCCACTCTAGAGAAAAAGTTACATGATTGAAACCCTAGAAACATAGTAGTGTCTCGGCGCTAAGACAAGTGCAGCGTCGTAACGCAAGACATTGCCCTGCTTCTTTACGCAAGCTGACGAGTTATGGCAGATTGAAATTATTGGATAATGTTTCCCCCAACGCAATCATGTAGATTACTCACTTTCAGTTCAAAATTGAATGTTACATACATAACGTTACATCTGTACTTTTTACCATATCCAATTTTTATTATTACCTATTTTGTATAAACACCTATTTTGTATTACATATTAAAATATGTAAAAAAGATGTTTACATTGCATTGTAATAACATATTACTGACATATTTCTGATATAGGAATGATATATTCAAAGTTGCTGACATAGAAGTTACCAGTACAGTTATATTTATTATCACAAATAACATTACATGTAACATTTCTAGCTGACACTTGTGTGATATTATATCTACATGAGTTATATGTGTGCTTTGCTGGATTATATGTATAAAATACATATCTTTAATATATACTTACAGGTAGAGATTCCAGCACCTGCCATAGTAATGATTTTGCAATTTGTGTTTTCTTTAATATATTCGACAATTCCATCTAAATTGAGTTTGGAAAGAACCAACTGCTGTGATTCATTGTTGTGATCATTTGCTGGCAAGTCAACAAGTCTTAATTTTTGAGCTAAATATCTACGTAATTTTTCCATCTCAGAATAATTTTCTACTTCTGATTTAGATAAAACGTTTTGTTTTTCTTCATTTAGACTACCATCTGAAACAAATAGAAAATTGATCTCCAAATACATACATTATTTTAATAAAAAAAACTACAATAACCACACAAGCTTTGCAATATATTTTAAATGTTCTTAATAATTACGACATAAAATTTTCATTTTATTAAAAGCCTAAGACAATTATTTTTAGATTAAATTGTCAAATGTAATACCGAGAAAAAACTTAAAAATTAAATTGTAATTAAAAAAGTGTATATATATATATATATAAAATTAGAGTATAAAGGCTCGTATGTTTGCAATGCAAATTTAACAGAGTCATATATGGCTTATTTCAAGCTTTTAAACAGATGACATTGAATTAATATATTAAAATAGATAAAATACAAATAATTCAATATAAAATTCGAAATACAAATATTTCGGAAATACATTCGGAAATACAAACGAAATTTTATATATATATATAATACTAATTTCATATATTTTTTCTCACTCTTTCATAATTGAAAAAAATGACTGCGACAAAAATTACACGCACACTAATGTCTTCTGAAAAATTACCTTTTTCATCCTTTTTAACCTCCTTGTCCATATTGTGACTCAATTAACGTTTAGTTCTGCGAAATGCGATTTGCCTATTAACTATCGAGCATATATATTCACTTCACGGATGACGATAGAAATCTTATTCGATAAATCAAAAACTAGAATAGAATTAGTTATTTCTTTTTTTAATGCTATACACATTCATACACACATACATGTGTAAAATTTTTATAACTCATTCATTTTTATTGTACATTTCATATATATATATATATAGATATACACATATATAGAACAATTTATTAAATAATTTATTGTATTATTTTATATATGCTTGTGATATACCCACTATACATGCAACCACCGATGAAATACTATTAAAGACCATCAACCCTGGGTAAATTTTCGGCGGTATAAAAAGAGGCCCGGAGGTAATTGAAGACCGCTGACATTATCGACAATTGATATAAATTTGCTATTATAAACATAAATATTTGACTAAAGCCGGCGGCACACAATGCTTGTTTTCTTGCTGGATTGCTAGCTAGAATAAATTCTTGCCACCATATTGGCTACGATGTTGACACTATCAGTACCGCGGCCAATACGATGGTAAGATTCTAATCTAGCTAGGAATCCAGCAGGAAAACAAGCATCGTGTGCGGCAGACTTAATATTAAGCTGGTTCTACATTAAGCCGTAATCACACTAGCGATTACCGATTGGATTGAGATTGCGATTGGCGATTGGCGATCTACAATCATTCAATCACACTGACCAACACTGACGATTGTAAGAATTGTGGCCGCTAATATATTGTGTCTGTGAAAAATAGCATCGAAAAAATGCCAAGAAATATTGGCAACTGCACGAGCAAGAATTGATTGTGATAATTATTATGCTCCTTGCAAGTAATACCAACAAGAGAATTTGGATGCATCGATGAATAGCAAGAAGAAAGGAGAAAGGATTACATCATAACCTTTTCTTGGAACTCAGTCTAGAACTCAGTCTAGGCATTATACACATAAACTTATATCCTTGTATCAAGTGTGACACTTTAGACTACAATTTAATATATTGTATTATCGAGACACATGTGCTTTGGTATCACGTGATTAAAATCACAATATTTTATTGGCTACGATTGGCCGACAACTGCGATTAACGATTAGAAAATAGAGCATTGTCTAAACGGCAGTCATTAATCTCAATCGGATTTCAATCGGTTACTGCTTTGCTTTGATTGGTTGAAAAGTAATCGCAATCACCAATCGCAATCTCAATCCAATCGGCAAAACAAACGTTCTGCTGAACGCAGCCATTGGTTCTTACTTGTCGATTTATGAATAAGAACCAATCGCTCGGTGAGCAAGCTGCATTCCGAAACCCATCGAAACGTAGCCTACTCTAGGATCTCTAGACATAGGCTGCGTTCAAAAATATTACCCGAGTGCCTCAATGCATCGTTTTATCCTTGTTGTTTACTCAATGTTAAATAAGGATAAGGTGATACACGGGGGCACCCGGGTGATGTTTCCGAACGCAGCCATAACCGCTCTCAGCTTTCTCTCTGTTGTTCGTTATTCTTATCCTGTCCCCTCATGTCTTTTCTTTAAAATTTACTGAATATCACTCTAACATAGATTGTCAAAACTTTGAAAACAACGATGTTGAACATACTGAAGTGCCATCTCTCTAATCATAGTTTGCGTCAATTGAAAAAATTATCGGTTTATTCTTCGTTAAAATTATATTTGTCTACTTCGACAGTCGCTATGATCAATAAGGTATATACACGACAGTCTTAACAAATGTATTTTAATCTTGTTTACACACGCACACGCGCATATATATCTTTTATGTAATACTTGATTTTACGTAATTTTATATACTAATATTCTAAGGGCCGATCATTCTATCTTTTGATAAATTTTACCTGTAGATAAATCTGGCAATCTGTGCATGTGATTGAGTAATCTTGCTACTTACTTTTAAATTTTATCAAACAGGTAAAATTTACCAAAAGTTGAAACATCGGTTTTTAATTTTGTTGGCGTTTTATTTTATTTTTATTAAAGATATTCGTAATAATATCATATATTCTTTTTTAAAGTATATCGTTAATTTTCTTTTATAAAAAATGACGTATTTTGTTTTAATAAATTGTTATGATATTAAAAATATGCATACATTTTCAAATATGTAAGATATTGTACAAACATTAAAATACAATTTTTAATTATATCTATATGTACCTGTTTTATATCTTTGCACATACACACACACACACACACACACACACACACACACACACACACACACACACGTTTTACTTACATCTTACATATTCTTATCATGCAGAGATGACAGATTTTTGCATTCTATTAACCTTCAGTCTTTCTGCCAATGTATTACTGATTACATCTAACATCTTACAAAATTCTAATAAAATGGTGAATAGTTTTAATATTCTGTTCTGTTATATTGTAAATAAAAGGATAAAGTAATATTACTATCACATTTTTAATTGTTTTTTAAAACTGAAAATAGCAGAAAACTGTTTGATAAAAGTTACATGGTATCACAAGAAATCTTTATATTTTGTCGTTGTATTTGTTTTTTAGATAGAATAGCTTTCCAGATTTAATAGCTATTACACACTGGGATCCCAAAACCCCAGTCCAATTTTCTAAATCGAGATCTTTTCGTGTTTTTAAACTTTAACTTTTCTTTTTCTGTGAACCTATGTATATCGAAGCTCTTTGATTCTATCGACTTTTACACATTATGGACTTATTTCTTAATCAATTCTTCATCGATTGAAAAAAAAGTAATTGAAATATATCCATTTTTATGGAAGTTACAGTGACAAATATGGATGGAGGGGTTCGAGTGTGTATGTCAAGAAAAAAAAAGTGTATAGCTAGGGTTAAAGATCAAATTCGTTTCTTCAAATTACACACACACACACAACACACACACACAACACACACACACGCACACGCATACTGTAGGTATATACAGAGTAGTGTCCACTTAAATCGAACATCTTGAATATTTCGATTATTTCTGATGATACAAAAGAATGTTTCAAATGAAAGTGAAACATTTGTTTTGAGGAAAACTTTGATTACCTTGTTTTTTTCTTGGTAAATACTTTAAAAAGCTATGAAGATCATCACCATTTTCTTAAATAATATAATTATATGATTTTGTTTACATATTGTGATTCCTCTAATTCTTCTGTATAAAGGTAGAGATATAAAAAAAAACCAATAATTTACGAGATATTTTATACTTTTTTCTGGTACATATTGACATGAAATATTAAATATTTCGTGAACTATTAATTTTTTGATAATTGTATATTAATACTTTTATGAACAGAATAATGAAATGAATTAATTAGTATAAAGAAAATTTATAGTTACTTTAAAAAAATATGTAAACAAAATGAATAATTTTTTTAAATAACCAACTGTGTGTTTTTTTACACCAATGGATTTCTCTCATTATTCTGTTTGTAAAAGTATTAAGATACAATGATCAAAAAATTAATAGTTTACGAAATATTTAACATTTCATGCCTGTATGTGCCAGAATAAAATATAAAATAACTCGAAAACCATTCAGTTTTATTATATCTCTGTCTTAATACTTTTATATGAAGAATATATAGAGGAAAATATCTTATGTAAAGTGAGATATTTTATAAACTATTAGGTTTTTTTACTTTAAAACTTTCACATGCAGAATTTTTAATTTATTTAAGCAATGAAATCTATATGGTTCGAATTAATAAGAAAATAAAGATAATCTTTAGATTTTAGAAAAATAAAATCTAAAGATTATCTATAGAAAGCGCCCTCTGCTTGCCTGCAAGAGATATGGATCCTGAGGCAATACATTTCTGATGCCTGAGGATCTAGACGGAGCAAAGATAGGCGATCTCATAAGCCTAGTACATGGTACGGGGCTGGGCTGGAACCGCCTAATCTTTAGAGACAAACAGGGAGTGACAATGGTATGGAACCTTAACGATCTAGGTCATGTTAGGCGGCTGTCATAGCTCCACCTGTATTTTTACTACTACTACTACTACTACTACTACTACTACATCTACAGAAAACAAACTGCTATATGATAATTTGTGTATAATACAACTTTATAAATTCTGATAAGTTTTACTGTCATGAAATATATTAAAGATAAAAATACACAATATACATATATACATATAAGAATACCTATATTACAAAAGTATCTAATACGTACATGATTTAATATATTTTAGTGTTATCAATGTGAATATAACTATATAATTTGTATGTGCAGGAACAAGAAAGCAAAAATTATAGAATTGAGAGAGATACATTTGGAGAATTAAAAGTTCCTGCAAACAAATATTATGGTGCACAAACTCTTAGAGCAATGATGAACTTTCCAATTGGTGATACGTTTGAACGTATGCCTGTAAGCAATAGCGATAAATTAAACTATTTGTTTTTTTTTTTAATTAATACATTTTCTTCTCTCTCTCTCTCGTATTTGAAATAATTATGATTATTTTTACAGTGCAGGCTGATAATAGCTATGGGTATATTAAAAAAAGCTGCTGCAGAAGTAAATAAAGAATATAACTTAGATCCTAAAATTGCCGATGCTATTAGTAAGGCAGCAGATGAAGTAATAAGCGGAAAGTTATATAATGATCACTTTCCCTTAATTATTTGGCAAACTGGATCTGGCACACAAACTAACATGAATGTCAATGAGGTTAAATATTAATTTCAACAGCATACTAAACTATATAATCATCCTGTGAAATAAAGTGATCGTCCTATGAATAACTATTTGATTTAACATATTTAAAATGTATTTAAAATGTTTAGGTTATTGCCAATCGTGCAATTGAGATACTTGGTGGTGAACTTGGCTCCAAAAAACCTGTACATCCAAATGATCATGTTAATATGTCGCAGAGTAGCAATGATACATTTCCAACAGCTATGCATATAGCTGTTGCCTTAGAAATTCATAAAACATTAATTCCAGGCTTAGAAGAAATACATAAAGCATTGAAAAATAAAGCAGACGAATGGAAAGATATTATAAAAATTGGTAGAACACATACCCAGGATGCAGTACCATTGACATTGGGTCAAGAATTTTCAGGTTTATATTTATGCAAACTATATGAATGGTTAAATGTAAACGAGACTTTTTTGTGTTGAATACAAATGAACGTGGACGTATTTATACTGACTAACAGGTAGGGGCGTCTGCTTACGCCCTGGATATATAGCGTCCATGAAGAGGACGACCATATTCTTGGAGCTACCCAAGGGTACAACAATAATACATGCGGCACTAAATAACGCGTTCAAGTTCCCTAATCTAATCATAAAATGTGCGGATCATGGTCGATCTCTCCGTGGACGCGGTATAGTTGTGGTCTAGTAGCAGTTGTTTCTGTAATCGTTGCAATGTTCGAACACAGTGCCGTTGCGCATTTGCGCTTTCGGTAGCGTTTCTTCTTTAAACTATGCAGTTTATACAAAATTTGTTCGCAATAATGACTACATTGTTATGAGATTACAACTATTCAGGCCGTGAGGAAACACTCACTCAATAAAGTTTTTTGTATAAATACAAATCAATGTTGGCATATTTACCTACGTTGATTTGTATTCACACAAAAAATTTCGATCATATTTGAACCACTCTCGTATTTTAATTTGGAATCGCTCATATGTATACAATAAGGGCTGGACATGTATTTGAAATACTTTTATTAAAATAACAGTATTTGTAAGACAATTGTATTTTGTATTTTAGCGGAGCACATGAAAATATTTCGTATTTTGTACTTTGGTATTATAATAACGAAAGATTGAGAGTGCAGCCACAATAGAAGGAATAAGGAATAACTATTTCAACCTATCAGAAATCAGACATACCGGAATACACAGTTTCTAAGTTGAAATCGTCATTCCTTATTCCTTCTATTGTGGCTACACCTTGACAGTATATTTTGTATTTTGTATTTCAAATACTAACACATTGACAATCAATTTTATTATTTGAATTACAAAATATAAAAAACTTTCAATCTTTCGATTTTAAATACAAAATACGTAATACTATGGCTTTCTTAGCTTTCACGGATATTATCTTCAAAAATGCCATAAGATTTGCGTGTTTTCATCCATTTCTAATGCCTACGTTTCGTGAACCTCGCTGTTCACTTCATCAGAGCAAGGAGCGCACTGTTACCGAGCTGCTCCTCCGGAGAATTCCCTTTATGCAGACACTGTAGAAGGAGACGAGGGTATGTTGGAGAAGGGAGGAGGGAGACTTTCTTGATTTATCAAGAGAGCAGTCTTCCATATTCTACTTACATTATAACCTGAATCTCTGTTCAAATTGTTTAGATGTTTCTGTATTTTTAGAGAGCCTCTTTGTACTTGCTCGAAAAATATGACATCGTTGTAGCTACAGTAGCCGTTTTATTGAATAGTATTTGATGTTATGTCGCAACATAATACTTACATGTGCTCCGCTGAAATACTTGTACTGCCAAAACTGTGCTTTAAATAAAAGTTTTAACTACATGCCCAGTCCTGTATACAATAGGTTTGTGTTTTATTCCTATACTAGACTGCACTAGACAACTTTCTTTCTCGCTTTCGCCAAATATCAAACACATATATACATGTGTGTGTATATATATATATATCTTAAGGTTTTATAAGTGTACATTAGTTAGTTATAAGAAAACAGCCTTAGAATGTGTTTTGTTTTTACGCTTACACGCTGTAATCAGTTTCATCCTTGTTATCTATTAAAGAACGAACGATGCTTACAAGCGCTGTAGCCCATAACGGGACGCATCTCTAATATGTAATATTAAAATTTTTTACAGGATATGCTACGCAAATTGAATATGGTATTAAAAGAGTAAAAGATACACTCCCAAGATTATATCAATTAGCTCTTGGCGGTACAGCGGTTGGAACTGGATTAAATACGCGAAAAGGCTTTTCAGAAAAGGCAGTTGCAAAAATTGCACAATTCACTGGTTTACCCTTTGTCTGTGCTCCAAATAAATTTGAAGCTCTAGCTGCGCATGATGCAATTGTCGAAGTACATGGCGCTTTTAATACAGTAGCTGTTTCTCTAATGAAAGTAGGTATTGATACACATAACTATTTAAAAATTGTATTTATAACTTGCCGATTTGTGTTCTTCTAACAGCTTATATATATAATCTGCATAGATCGCAAATGACATTAGATTCCTTGGAAGTGGACCTAGATGCGGTTTAGGAGAATTATCTCTCCCAGAAAATGAACCTGGAAGTTCTATTATGCCTGGAAAAGTAAATCCTACACAAACTGAATCAATGACCATGGTGTGTAGTCAAGTAATGGGTAATCATGTGGCAATAAGTATCAGTGGTAGTAATGGGCACTTTGAACTTAATGTTTTTAAACCGATTATGGTTGCGAACACTTTGAGATCTGCAAGATTGTTAGGCGATGCCTGCTCTTCGTTCGCAAAAAATTGTGTTGTTGGCATTGTTCCCAATATTGATAATTTACAAAGAAACGTGAATGAAAGTTTGATGCTTGTCACAGCATTGAATCCACATATTGGTTATGATAAGGTATTTATAAATTTGTGTTTCTTTAGGATGAATATGGAACAGGAGTTTCTTATAGTACACACACACACACACACACACACACACATATTATATATATACAGGGTGTTAGTTAAGTATATTGCCATGCTCAACAGCTAAACACATTTTTAGGACACATGTTTATATGGACTTTTTTACTTGAAATAAACCAAAGAATCGCTCTGTTGAGTACGGCAACATACTTAATTAACACCTCGTATATATAATTAATATTTTTGTAAGGATTTATATCTATATTTTTTATAGGCTGCTACAATTGCAAAATACGCACACAAAGAAAAGCTTACACTAAAAGAATCGGCGTTAAAACATGGAATAACGGCGGAACAATTCGATCAGTGGGTTAGACCCGAACAAATGCTTGGACCGAAATAATTTCTATGTTAAAAGGATATTTAAAAGAAATATACATGAATATATATATATATATATATATA